CCCTGAGCCGGTGAGATTTGAACTGCTGAACTGCAGTCAGCTGAAGTAGCCTGCAGTGCTGCATTTAACCACTGCACCACCGCACAATCCCTTGAGGGCAACTGACTGGAGCTAGCAGAGGGTTTTAATGGCCAGATGTCCTTCCTGTCGCCAGTGTGGAGTTTTGTTCAGCAGAGATATTCTCATGGTGCCCATAGGACTGGGCCAGCCTAGCTACAAGACAAAAGACCTCCATCTCAAGGGTGATGGGATTAAGACGTGAGCCGTAGCAGCAGGGCTCACTGCATTACAAAATCTCCTAAGGACATTGCATCAGTCCAAACTTCAACCAAACGTATCTCTGACAAACGTGACCCCACGTGGCCCCATGGGAGTCTGACTACAGCCAATAAAACACATTTCTTGCAGAGGAACAGGAAGCTACCTAGGATCGAACTCACAGTCTCCTGATTGTGAGGCCAGAGCTCCACCACTAGGCTACGACATTACTCCATATATATATATAAAAACACAGTCAAAATTACCAGTGTTTCAAAAATAAAAGGCATCTTATACTCCAAAAAAATACGGTATCCAGGAAGAATCTACCCATGCAATCATTTAAGAGTCAACTTTGCCTAATGGCACTTAATCTATCAATCTATTTTGATTTATTACTGTGTTTCCCCCAAAATATGATCCACTTCGAAAAGAAGCCCCATCATGTTTTGAACACATGTGCTAAAATTAACCCCTAACCCCAAAATTAGCCCTAATTGAGGCACCACCCACCCTGGGGTGCAGGGGGTGGGGCGCACAGATAAAAATCAAGCTAGGGTGGGGATGAGGGGAGTGGAGCTGCCCTTCCTACCTACCAGGCCTTGCACACCCCAACACCTGCCTCACCTTTCTCCCCTAACCTGGGAACTAATTTACACCGTTAAGGCTCATAGAACCTACATGCCGATTGTTAGGAATTCCAGTGGAAAAAGCCCTGAATTTCTACCCCGCCTGTCAGGTTTCATACTATGTTTTCCCCAAAAATATGTCTGGGTCTTATTTTCTTTTGACATCCTCTCCCCCCAAAATGGCTAGGGCTTCTTTTTGGGTGGGTCTAATTATTGACAGACCTCGTCGCCGCTCCATCGACAGCTCCGCCCAGCAGGAGCCGCTGCCGGCCCATTTCTGCAGCCGCTTGCCACCGCTCACACGCATCCCCCCCAGCCTCCATTTCACCATCACCAGAGCCTTCTGGAAAGATCTCTGCAGCCAAGAAACAAGGTCTGGATTGATGTACGCATCCCCCCCGCTCCCCCTACCCTCTGTTTCGCCATCACAACCTTCTGGAAAGCTCTCTGCAGCTGAGAAACGGCTCCGGGTCGATCTGTAGGGGCGATGTGCGCATCAATCCAGATCTCATTTCTTGGCTGTAGAGGGCTTTCTGGAAGGCTCTGACAGCGAAATAGCGGCATGGCATATGATGCATGGAAACGGCTGCAGAAGTGGGCCGGCAGTTGCCAGTGCCGCGGCGGCGTGGTGAGTCAATAATTAGACCCACCCAAAAAGAAGCCTTTGGTTTTTGGGGGGGGGCGGGGTCAAAAGAAAATAAGACCCAGTCATATTTTCGGGGAAACGGTATGTTTTTCCATATGTCGTCCCGGAAACCTGACAGGCAGGGTAGGAATTCAGGGCTTTTTCCACTGTAATCCCTAACAATCGGTATTTAGCTTCTGTGACCCTTCATTGTGTAAATTAGTTCGCAATAGCAATAGCAATAGCAA